GACAAGGTTATCTAAAATTACTTTAAGACCCTATTCTTACGAAATGCGTAAAGTTTCGCGATAATACAGGGAATTTTTCTTCTGTTAAATTGCCTTAGGAATCACGTCGTTCTCTACCCAACTATTAATTTCGATAAAACGAATTGAGATGTTCCGTGCAATCTCGCGATTGGAGGCTAAAGCTTCATCTTCAACGTAATATGCGCCTTCGGAGAATCCAGGAAATTTCTGGCAAATTGTCATCGCGTGAGAGCGCGTGAAACGCGTTTAAAGGGCAAACTCGTAATATTCAAACAATCCGCTCGTTTAGGCCTTTGAAGGAGCGGCGTTTGCCGCGTATTCGTGAAACAATGACGCGTTGTGCGCTACCAATGAGACCCGAGGCCTGATACATAGTAATGTATGTACCAGGAAACTCACTGTCTGTCTTCCTTACCTGGTGGAGCCACACGAGTCACCGTTGTGCTCGATGCGGAAATCGATACGCGAGAACTCGCAGCTGCACCGACTCGGTGATTCACGGGTTCAAAGAGAACAGAGCCGCGGGACACATTTAACTTTTCCGTGCGAATCTAATACGCAAACAAACCGCCTAAACGATTATATAATTTCAGTCAGTGTCCCGGTGATTATAAATAATAAATCATAGAACACGCTGCATAACTACTGATAGCTGTCGGTACAAATCGCCAATATCATCTAATAAACAACAATCAAGCTATTTAGTCGACATTAACCGGCTAGTGTCGACTAGCCGGCTAATCCTAGCCGGTTGTAATGTCGACTAAAAAACTTGATTATTGTTATCTATTACTGACAACTTAAAGAGATTTCTACATCATCCAATAAAGTTTGTATTTTAATTCTTTCATAACCACTGGAACATATAAGTCCCATTCACATCTTTTGCCTGTCTCGTTCCTCGGGATGCTAGTGTCCCATGAAAAAAAAAAGTAAACAAAAATAATTTAATCGTGAAAGAGTTAACGGTAGATGTTGCTTCAATATGAGATGACGAATTGACGATAGCTCATTTCCTACGCCGTCGAGAGAATAGTCAGTCTTGAAGAGGGATAGAAGGACACATGAAATGAGGGAAGATAGAAATAGAAAGGATCGAGCGAATGCCATTTGGATGTTAATGAGTAGCCGCAGTTAATGGTACGCAGGTCCGTTCGTCTGTAGTCGTAATACGCCGCGCAGCCACGCAATAAGACGTTTCATAACGATTCACCGCGACTGACTGCCGCCGGTAGCGAGATCGTCGAGGACGCCGCCGATTCAACTTAATCGTGTAGGTGTGAGCTGTCCTCGCTAGGCTAGTAAACTGCCAGCGGGGAAACTTCGATAAAGCTCGCGACCAGCATAATCGATCGTTTCGCGCCGTGGAAAAAAGAGCCGCGGAGCTCGCGTGACTGCGAAGACACTCAAAGAACGCAGACAATTCAATTAACGTAACTTGAATCTTCTCTTGAATAAAATACACCGGAGAATTGAAAAGCTAGTAATATTTTACAGCTTTCAGTTCCACTTGAAGAAAGAGAAACTTACTCATTGAATTACGAAAGATTATGAGTTTTTCGCATGGCTCGCACAGCTCTGCATTTTCGTTGTGGCAAATCTCGATTCCATGTAAGAAGCATCATTCCTTTGCCCCTTCTTAGAGAACGCATTATATGTGTAGACAATTCGCGTGCGCTAATATGCTTGTTTCTTTTTAATATTGTACAGGCGCGGTCGGAAGAGCATCTGGCGCAGGAACAAGCATGGTTGACTTCCGAGAGAGTCTGGTTATTGCATCGCGGAGGTTTTACTCCGGCTACAAGATGCGGTACCGCCGATCCCGACACAGGAAAACTGAGGATCCGATTGACCACCTCCGGAGAAGAGTTGCTCGTGGACGAGGAAGATGTAGAGAAGGTACTATGATTTATATCCCGCAATTAGCTCTTGACTGCGCGCTTGCTACGCATGTTTATTAAGCAATCAAGCTAAACGATTCGACCGTCGTATATCTTACATGTATCATTATAACTTATCGTTGTTTGCATCTGTTTAGGCCAATCCACCTCAGTTCGATAAAGCCGAGGAACTCTCTCAGCTGCGTTTTCTGAATGAATCATCCGTTCTCCACACGCTGCGGCAACGTTACGCCAGTAACCTGATACACACGTACGCGGGAGACAGCATGATCGTTATCAATCCGGTCGCGCCATTGGCAATTTATTCTGAAAAGGCAAGGCCGCGCTGAAAGTTCACGTAAACTTGTACCACTTCTCAAAGATGTAACAATTCCATTTATATTAAATTATTAAGTGGTGTATTATTGTGCGGAGGAATTGACAGACATATTATCGGTCCGTTTCAGTAAACGTTCGCGTTAGATTTTCACTTAGGATTCTTATCTAAAATTGAAATTCTTTCCGCTCCTTGTTTTAGGTCGCGCACATGTTCCGAGGTTGCAAAAGCGAGGACATGCCGCCGCACATTTATGCCATAGCGCAGTCGGCTTACAGAGGAATGCTGGCGACACGCAGGGACCATTCTCTGGTTTTCCTCGGGCGTAGTGGAGCGGGGAAAACTACGAACTTCAAACACGCCCTTCATTATCTCGTGCTGGCTGCTGGCACAGTTAATAAGGCGAGTAAAGGCGTGGAAACACTGCGGTGTTAATATTTTCCATACAGATCGTTTCTAAGCGAACATCGTTTCTTCTTACAGATATTGACGATCGAGAAGTTGAACGCGCTATTCACGGTCCTTGAGGCTTTCGGGAATAGTAGAACGCATATGAATTCGAATGCGACGCGTTTCACGCAGCTCTTCAGCCTCGATTTTGATCAGTCGGGTCAAATCGCATCGGCCTCTCTACAAGTGAGAAGAATACATTTTCGCCTCGTGCCGTCCGTTCTTTTCTCACGTCGTGAAACAAATGACATTCTATTGTTCTTTTCCACAAGGTACTGCTCCTGGAGAAGTCGAGGATAGGCCGACGAGCAAACGGCGACCCGACGTTTCACGCCGTTTACCGTCTACTCGCGGGCGCGGAGGGTGCGCTGAGAAAAGAGTTACACCTCACAAATCTAGTCGCCGAAAACAATCCCTTCGTCACGCCTCTGCAGAAGCACGAGGACAAACAGCGGGCTATGGTCGAGTTTAACCGTATCGTCGCCGCGTTCAGGATACTCGGCATCTCCGAGGCTGACGAGAAAGTCATTTGGCTGGTGCTGGCTGGCATTTATCATTTGAGCTGTGCCGGCGCAGTGAAAGCCGGCACCAGCTCGCAGAGCAGGTGGCAGTTCGCGAGAGTCGAGTGCGCGGAGAAGGCCGGCAATCTGCTGGGCACAACGGTGGAGGAACTGAGTCGAATAGTGTTCTCCACGAACGGAGGGGGTGCCGGAACACCGAGCACCCCGAGACCGGCTCTGAGGACGCCCAGCCCGACGGAACAGGGCAAGGACGTAATGGGGCTTGACGCGCTGGAGGGACTTCTAGTCGGACTTTACTCGGAGGTCTTCCATTGCGTCGCGGCTCTTATTAACAAGTAAATGGATCGCTGGACTCATCTTGCTCGTTGGATAATTTTCTCGAATGCCATGAAATATTTCTTCACATTACATTTCATACATTATTTAAAAACATGAAGACTGATCTGACTTTTGAGATATCTTCTCGAGAGTTTCAATAGTATCGATGATAAATCATAAATCAAATTGCACAACGTTATTATACTCTTCGTTAGCATCTCTACTCTTGATCAATATCGTATTAGTAATACTCCACTCATTTTTTAGATCCATATCATCCGCTGTACATACAGTCTCATCTCTGCTGCTGTGCGATTCGCCTGGTTTTCAAAATCCTGCCTCGTGCGGTCGACAAACCGGTGCAACCTTCGAGGATCTTTGCCACAATTATCTGCAGGAACGCCTGCAGTTACTGTTTCATCACACTACGTTGGTAGCCCCAAAGGATAGGTACGAAATATGAGGACATTTTTTAATTCCAATTTTTTTTTCCTAAACGAAATCGGAGCCTGTATTATTCATGTGGCGTTAGATTAATTCTCGAATACTCTTTATATTTATTACTACATGAATATCACGGCTATGTAATTTGTGAAAATTTATCAGATACGTCCAGGAAGGCATCGACGTGGATTACGAGGACGATTATGACGAGGAAGGCATTGGATCGCCTCAAGGTTTGGTTTCTCTCCTGGATCGCGGAAGCTCGCAAAGCGCGACGATGTTGCGAACTAGTCAAAGCGATCTTAGCGGCAGCAGGCAGATGGAACGAAAAGGATTACTGTGGCTACTGGACGAGGAGACCGTATGTCCTGGCGGCAGTGACGAAACCTTCCTCGATCGACTATTTTCTCATTACGGAGACCGGGGTAAAATTTATATTCCGACATTTATACCTCAATTATGAATTGTATATATGAGAACAATCATAAACGAGACATATTGCTGTTGCAGATCACCAAATGCTGTTGCGTAAAGCGCCGGGTAACAATCAATTCGTTTTGCAACACCTACTGGGAACGAATCCTGTGCTTTATACCGCGACCGGTTGGCTTAGGGCTACACGCGAGAATCCTGTCGCCAAGAGTGCCATTACGATACTTCAGGAAAGTACAAGGTAACATTGCAGTCTAGTTTATCCACGCCCTTCAATAATTAATTAATAAATTGAATAAATTACGTTGTTATATTTTTATATTATTAAATGATTCTAGAGAACACGTGAGCATGTTGTTCGTAAGTGCTCGGGGTGCTGGGGTTTCCGGTGCTCTATGCAGTTCTATACCGGGACTCGAAGGCTCGCAATCCTTGAGGCGAGCGTCGAGCATACGAAGGACATTCACGGCCGTAAAAAGAAAGAACGTTTGTCTACAAGTGAAATTCACTGTGGTGAGTACCGATTCTTTTCTGGTGGCAATTTGAATTTTTGCACCTTTACTAGCGAAATTTCGAAATTATTCTCGGATCGTTCTTGAAATTTTCGCGGCATCGATAGTAGACCCATTCCCTTGCCGCTATTTGCGATTGGTCGACGCGGTGTCAAAGATCAGACAATTATCGCGTGTTCCATAAAACATTATCGCAAGGCCGCACAGACGTACAAGCTAGGTTTAACGCGAATTGACCTTCGCCCTGAGCGAGATACTCGCTGAAAATGTTCGGTGAAATCTGCGTTACCACGTTCGCATACTACCTTGTGCCGTTGCTGATTTTTCTCTTTCTCGCTCTCTATCTAGTAAGAACAATAGAATGATTCTTTATTTATCTCAGTGTATTTATACGACTCTGACACATTAAGCGGCAAAGTACAGGCGTTAATTGTCTCCAGGATGGCCTGGTGGAAACATTACGCAGAACTCGCGTCAAGTTTGTGCACTGCCTTTTGCCTCAACATAACGCCGGCTGTACGGACAATAAGAGTCTCCTCTCCGTGAAATCGAATCAGAGCGAGGACAGCGTCATTAATGTGCCTCTTCTGCGATCTCAGGTAAAGTTATTATTAAAGAAGGTTATAAAAAGGAACAATGCCTTTAATTCGCCAGTAAATGATTAACTTGACAAGACTGGTTATAGAATCTTTTTCATATAATAAATTCGATATACTATATTTCAATACTATATTGTAAATTTGATTAATAAACCTTTGCCAGGTTTGGTCGCACAAACCTGTTCTTATTTAGTACTACAGTTTGACCATGGGTTTTGACTCTTATCAGTATATAATCAGTATATAATCAACTCGGCATCCAGTCAGCAAGCATGAGTCTAATGTTTGCCGACTGGAACGTACATGTGACATGTTTTTCATTACGATAGTTTCACTTTTTATTATATGACACACATTTATCTGAACTGATGGCGCGCGTAGTCAGCACATATATTACAGTCGATAGATAATTTGAGAGTCGAATACTTGATAAGGACCAACACCCATGGTCGAAATATAGTATAGAATAAAGAGGATTCTGTAGCTAGTCGTGTCGATAAAATGTTATAAAATAATTTTAAAAAACACCAGTTTCACGTCGAAAGTACTTTCGAAACACTGACGTCGCTTTTTTCTAAAGTTTGATTAACCCTTTGCAGTCCAATATAAGAAAAATATGTTATACTTACTTATAAATAATTGTCAATTGTGTATAAAAAATAAAAAATTATAATACGAATAATATTACCTGCTATCTCATATTTTTAAAAATAATGCAAACATTCAATTACAATATTTGCATACATTACAGTCGCAAAAAGTTTAAAATGGCGGCAAAAAAATTACACAGTTTCGCAGCAAAATGACTGAGACGCAAAGGATTAATTTCACTAGTATTTGAATTGCCTTCTTTTTTTTAGAAATGATCTAATGCCCAATGCATATTCCAACATGCTTGTACAGATTCGCGGGAGTCAGATAATCGACGCTGTCCGCCTACACAAGGTTGGATTCCCGAAGCATATGTCATTAGGTGAGTTCAGACGTCGATTCGGGCTGCTGTCAAGCGACGTCAACGCACGGCCCGGAAGTCCCGTGACCGATGAACGCCGCGCCGTGGAAGACATGCTGCTCACCGTCGACGTCGACCCCGCGTCCTACCGAGTCGGTCAAAGCCAGGTGAGTAAACATTTCTTGGAGAACACGCGTAGCTCTGACTTCTAACATGAACTAGAAAGTAGACGGGCGCTATCAAAAACAGCGAAAGCGTTCATTAATCACCCGCGGAATCTGCATCGAACAATATCTGCGGCGAGAAAGTTTGTTGGAAAATTTATCAAGAAGTGTCGCTTCGTGTGCCGAGTACACGGGACCGCTGAGGAAAAATGAAAATACGACCCGAGTGTGTGATTAAAGTTATTTAATACGAGAGGATCGCGGTAAAATAAGGTCGAGTGGAGACTGATAAATAATTTATCAAACACTTATGTCGGATAATGACGAGGAGTGGTACGTTAACGAGCTATACACATAACACTTGAGGGCTGTTAGAGAGCCATGATGTGCCCGTACCTCGTAATCTTGGCGTCTTATTATTCACGAAATCGTGACGTCCCGTATGCCGCGCGCACACGGCCGTTTTTTTCCGACCGCGGGAGTACAATACCCGCTTTCTAATAGTTTTACGACCCGAGAGGCTTGTAAATTTTTACAACGTACCAAGCGCAAGTAGCCGCTGATTTTTCTTGGGCGCGGTGAAGAAGAAGCGACGTCGTTTTACGGCGCAGAAAAGCGCTTTCGTCTCGCAGCTCGAGACGTGTCAACGCACTTTCGCTGACCGGCCAAGAAGTCGTTAATGGAATTCAGAAGGGAAAATGACGGCCGTCCACGGGCGTTGTGCAAATCATCGCGGCCGACGCGACGCTTCCGCGAGACGATAATTGTTCTCGTCACGAAGACGAGCGAGCATCGTCGCTCGCGGGAGCCCATCAGCATCCGTTCTGCGGAGCATGACTAAACGTTCGGACCTACGGCTCGCTCAAGAATATAACAGAGAGATACGTCACCCTTTCAAAAAAGCCACGTTTCTGCTTAAAAAAAAAGAAACGCGACGTCGCGACTTTTAAATTGGAATAAGAATCCGCTTCGATCTCGGCTGTAATTCCTCATCTGATAATTACATTTATTGTTAGATTATTAGATTATTTCAGAAGATCGACTGTTAACGAGGAGTATGAAGATATCATGTTTCCTGTCAGGCTGAATGTAACGCCGGGAGGAGAATTTAAAACAGGAGGAAAGGAAGCTCGCGAGAGAGGTGGGGTTCAACGGGGTCGCATGCATTTATTCTTTCGGTAGTTTCGCCCGCGGAAGACGCTTTCCACAGGTCGATGACGTGCCGTCAGATCGTATTCTGTCCGACAGGTGCCGCAAACTCGGAATATTCACTCGCACACCCCTTCACCGTAAACTGATTTCGAGCGATTTCTCTGTACTCGACTCGTGCACGTGCATCGGGGACGCAATCAAAAGCAGCCTTTTCGTTAACCATTTTCTTTGCGTTAGAAGAAAGCACCGCTATCAACGTTGCATAGAAACGTTTCACGATAAAACTTTCGGAAAAATTACTCTTAAGATTTTATCAAGTTATAATTGAAAAAAGATTAATATAATAATTGTCGTCGCATAAATTTCTCTTACTTATGCGCCGAAGTGCTATGGAAAGTAAATATTTGCCGTCCGATCGGCAGTGGGGTAACAGTATCTCGTCGCACCTGTTAGGTTCGTGCATTTTTACGGGAAAGGACCAGAAGCTGCCTGTTTGTGCATTTCACCAGCTGTGCGAGACATGCAAAACCAGCTTCGCCGGCGGAGCTTCGCGGCTTTCACTTCGCAACGTTCGTAGCTTGCAGCGCGCCGTAAGGCAGGCTTTATGTAAATTTTACGCATGGATTAAGCGACATACTGGCAAACGCACTTGGCACGCGATCCGAATGCACCACTTCCCCCTTGAGAGAACGATGTCGGTCGAGATTTCTTTCTCCGTTCGCGTCGGCGAGCCTCAAATTCGCTGCTCCGAGACTCACGGCTCCGATTTCGCGGGATCACCTGTCCCGCTTCCCGCCGTACGTTATTCATGAACACGTGTCGACGGAAAAATCTATCATCTGGAAAATGGCCTCGGAACGAGATCGTCGCGCACTGCAACGTTTCACTGTACGTCGGGTGAATTTAAAGTTCGCTTCTGCACGAGAGTTCGAGCCATCGCGCGCAGTCGCGGTCGGTATTGTGTTGGGGAATCCTTAAAAAATACGCCCCGTGCGTTTTACGTTATATCATTATTGACGTATGAATGCTGTTTAATAGGGGACCGTGTCACAACAGTGACTTGCGATATTATTTCACGAAGGTGGAGTGCACGGCGTGACGGCCGTCGCGCGAAACGGGCACAAAGCGATACCTAAAACTGATTCTGCATGTATCTCTTATACGAGACGATCAACCGTTAACTCCGTTTATTCGCGAGCGGCTCGTCGCGCTGTAAGTTATGCGGCGGTCGTTTACCTCTGTCTGTGATAAAGCAGACGCAGCAGTAGTCCAGCGAGGTTCTCTATGACGTATACCCATGCATACGTTACATAGATGCGACCATTCTTCCCGAGCTTTCGAGATTTTCAATTGCGAGAGATGTAAGTCAGATTGCCACTTCAGTGGGATTCAAGCTGCGATCATATTTGTAAAATCGACTCACGTGATGCCCAAAGAGTGCGTTAATTTCTCTAGATTACATCACTATTTAAGGGGAGGTCACTTCGCAGAAGACGTACCGTCTCGAAGACATCGGGACCCTGTGCCGTTTCGCTAAAATACACACTTTCGCGATTAGAAATGTAGCCTGAACTACGCTTATCGAAATTTACGGAGGAAATCGTTCGCGGCTCACGTGTATTATCGCGTATACGCCGATTTAGGTTCGTTGACTTTTGCGCGGCTCGCCGCGCATCGTTTCTCTTCCAGTCTCGCATTCCCCGTGCCCCTCCTTCACCTTTTACCTTTACCTTGGCCTTGTCTGATGCCGCGTTTCACCTCTATCGCCACTACGCGAAATCCGCCCCGTCTGTCCTAAAGAATCGGGTAGCGAGCAACACTTTCGACCACTTGTTTTTCGTAGTTAAAACATTTGCCAAGCACGCAAATTGAAGAAATACATTAATAAGTATATCACTAGGGCTCTGTTGATAAACATTTAAGGTAAGCATAGAGGGGCAATAAGAGCCAAACGCTAGGTGTTGGGTGCGGATGTAATATTAGAACAAGTGACTTGTTCAGCTATATTAAACATTAAATCTAATATTACATCCGCACCCAACACCTAGCGTTTGGCTCTTATTGCCCCTCTATGCTTACTAACTTAAATATATTAATGTTCAATATTAAATACGTTATTTGGAGAAGTGATCCAATGGCGCTAGTTAAGAATATTTATTTATATAGAAAATCATCGTTTAGTTTTCATATTCTAAACTTTATAAAATTGTTAAAACTCATAAACCAGTACAGAAAGTTAGATATCATAGGCTTCTCACTTATGCGATGATATTTGTCGATAATTGCATATTCACGGGCAGAATTTAGATTCTAAGTAAGCCATCGAACGAAACCTTACAGAAGAAATTTAAATTAATGGATGCCTATAAGCGTGCAGTATCTTGGAGTTTAAATTAGATAGCGCCGATATGAAGTATTCCAGAAATCGCACGTTCCACAAAAAGAGAGATTGAGTCACGAGCTCGTCTATCGAAAAAAAAATGAGAAGAAGCATCAATGTTAGACATCAAGTTACAAATAAGTCTATTTGAAAGCCCGCTCGAGGATACATTAGGTATCTCGGCGTAAAGCGAATTCATGGTCACGCTGCATGCCGAAAGAAATGCGAATTAAATGTTGACGATGCAGCGGCCGAAGTCATCTTCATCTTTCATAATAAAGGTCTTACGCGCTACCATTTCTCTCGCGCAACCTACGTTTTGTAATCCAAGTGGAAAGTCATCGCGCAGTCATTTCAAATGGATGCGCACGCGTGTATCGGCGCTTCCTGATTCCGCAGAAGCTTAATCGAAACAGCTGCAGACTATCGACGTCATGCCAAGTTGCGCATCGGGCGAGTCGCCGTAATTTAGTTGCCTGATCTATAATATCCGATGCTTCGCGAGCGATTCACAATACACCCCGGCCTCTTGCGCGATGTCCACGTCGCGAATTTTCTCAGCGGTGGACGAATACGTTCCCCAGAATTTTACCGCGGGTGGGATCTATGAGGCTCCACATTACCTTCGTCACTTTCCTCCGAGGGGGAAAACCGCTGAGGGCATTGTGGTGTACAGATTTGCGGCATTACTGGGCATTACTAGGCATTACTAGGCATTTTTGGGGCACTTTTAGGCATTAGTTTGGGGCATTAGGCGTTGCTGGAGCATTATAAAGATAAAATAAGATAAAATAATGCCCACTGGGCATTAGTGGGCATTGGTGTACGGTAGATTTTGGTCAGCGGTTTCCCCCTCGCATTCCTCCGATTCCGAAACTGCGCTTCTTCTTGTAAAAACAACAACCGGACCCATAAAAACGAAACCAGTATCGTACGATTGTTCGACCGCGAATATATCCCGAAAAAAAAAGCGCGTTTGTGACTTTCTCGTGGCCCACATACAAATTGCCGTACTGGTCCTTACTGGTTCGCCATGCCCGCCAATCCATTTGCGGTTTTGCACCGCGAAGATATCAGCCTCCTTACATCTCATTCGGCCTTTCATTTCTTCCCACCTAAATGCACCTGCACGAGATGCAACTTTAAAAAGAGATCCCCGCACGTAACCGAGAGATTTTACGAAAGCTTCTTAGAAGAAAACGTCCTAATTGCTGGAGAAATAAAATCTCTGCCGGCGGAAACCTCGCGCGGAGACACGGAAGCTGTTGGGTATCTAAAATAATACGACGTGAGGATTAAATTACACGCATTACTCTATCCGTGACATAACGACGTTCGCGCGGAGGTGACATTTCCTGGAACGTTATAATTACGATGTGCAAATTACACGACCGTCAAACGAATCTTCCGTCATTTTAGAGGGTGTCTACGTCCCGTCTTTCCCTGCCGATGCCGCGGCCGCCTCCGTTTC